TCAGGGTGGTGTTTGTGGGGTAAGATCTCAGCTGTTCCTGCCCGGAACTGCCAGCTTCAGGGCACGTCCTCATGGTGGCCAAGCTGCAGACCAGCGCTGGGATGACATGTTGTCCCCTCCCCACCGCGCCGCTCTCTTGCCATCTTCCTGGGTGCAGCACCCACCGAGGTGCTGCCAGCCTGCCCTGCCCTCCCGTTCCTCCTCATACATCCCGTGCCATGGTGGTGATGCAGAAGAAGAGGGTGACATGTGTCCCCCTGCACCCTGCTCAGCATGTTCATGCTCCCAGTCACCGCATTGTCCGAGGTGGTTTGGGTGGTGTGTGGCCCCGGGATGGCAGGGATGCTCCGCAGAGGCAGCACAGGGCACTCCCCACTCCCACTAAAGTCCTGGATCCCACTAAAGACCTATAGATCCAGCCGGGGAAGTCCCTGTCCCTTGCCATCCACAGACGGACGTGTAGGTGGATCCAGGACTTTGACCACCCTTTGGTAGACTTCTACAGGACCAGCTGAAATTCCATGCACAGCTTCATCTCTCTCAGCCTGGCTCCATAGCAGAGGTGTTCCAGCCCTCACATCATCTCTGTGGCCTCCTCTGGCCCCGCTCCAACAGCTCCGTGTCCTTCTGATGTTGGGGGCCCCAGAGCTGAACGCAGCACTGCAGGGGGGTCTCAGGAGAGCAGAGCAGAGGGGCAGAATCCCCTCCCTCGCCCTGCTGCCCACGCTGCTTTGGATGCAGCCCAGGGCACGGTTGGCTTTCTGGGCTGCTGGCGCACGGTGCCGGCTCATGTCCAGTTTGTCACCCACCAGTACCCTTAAGTCCTTCTCCGGATGGCCGCTCTCAATCCCTTCATCTTCAAATCTGTACTGATACTGGGGATTGCCCCACCACAGGTGCAGGACCTTGCACTTGGCCTTGTTGAAGTTCATGAGGCTCACGTGGCCTCGCTCCTCAGCCTGCCGAGGTCCCTCTGGATGATCCATACTGCCCAAACTCAGAAGTTCCCTCCCAGAAGAAGCTCAAAGCCTCAGAGTGTTGGATCTGACTGACTGTCCCATCCCCTTCTTGTTGCATGCAGAAACATTGTGCTGGGGTCACACCTGAAGCCCCTGGAGAAAAAGGACAAGATGGGTGAGAGGAGGAAGGTGCTGTGGAACCCCTGCGCAGCCCGCGCCAAGGCCCCGCAGACCGCCAGTGTGGAGCTACCCCAGGTGAGGGAGACGCTTTCCAGGACTTTATCCACATCTAAAAATTACGTCAGAGTAATTTAGGGATTATTTTAAGTGTGAGAGTTATTCAGAAACATATCTACATGTCCTCGAAGTCCTCGGGAACTCTGGTGGTAGACAACTACGGGCTTCTTGGCCCCTGCTTGCTGTTTGCTGAGGGCTTGCACCAGCTGCTCCCAGAAGAGTCTGCTTCAGCCTTGTGAGAACGTCAGACCAGCTGCACAGCCTCCGACCAGAGCTCCCAGTGCCCTCCTCTGATGATGGCCAGTAACAGGTTCTTGCAGAAGAGTGCCCTCCCTTGACCGTACTCTTCCAGCTGGCTGCAGTTCAGCGACCACGAGCCCGGAGCGTGCGTCAGGACCACCATGTTTGGTAACCAGGGACCACAGATCCGTGAAGGTGGCCGGTTCTTCTCCACCCTGCGGCTCAGTGATGCACGACACGGAAAAGTGCTGGATGTTTAAACCTGCTGCCCGATGAGCTCACTGGGTGCTCCTTAGTTCTCCGGTTGCAGGAGACAGCGACTAAACATTTTCCATCCGGGTTCGAAGGACGTCCATCCCACCCGCTCCGATGGACCTGCTGGAGGGCCCTGCTCACTGGACATGCAGCCAAGGATGTTTCCCGTGGATTATTTTGGCACTGAATTTCATTTCCCTGTTTATTCTGAGGTCTTTTTGCAACTCCTCTAGGCAGCTTCGTGTTTTCCTGAACTGAGCACTGATCTCCCCAGAGCGAATCCCGTTCCTAATCCTGTTAGCACCTGGGCTCCGATCTCTGGGGCTTCTCCGCTTTGTGTTTGGACGCGGCCCAGTGTTTCTGTGCCTCGTTCTTCTTGTACAAAAGCCTGAACATTTGAACCCTCCGTCAGCCTGCGTGGCGGTTAGGTCAGCGGTGACGAGTTCAGCAGTGCGATGACACGTTGTGGAACACAGGATTTCCTTTTACCCGGAGATGCCACACGGAGCTTGGCGCTCCCTTTCAGCGCGCGCTCTGCCGCAGACCCGGACGAGCGCAGCGTGTTACGAGACGGGGTGGTGGGGCCATCTGCGTGTTTTCTGGGTGGTACATCTCATCTCTCTTGTCTCCTCCCTCCTTTGGTTTGCTTCACGGTGCTTGAGGTGGAGCGGAGGTTTTTACTGAACTGCCCCCATCTCCAGGAGGTCCCTTCCCGAGTGGTGATGGTGGATCCAGACTGGGCAACGTGTCTGGTTTTGGTTGAGTTACTCCACTACTGATCTGTGTTCATCCACGCTGGGTTTCATGGCTCATCCGTTCCTCCGTTGTTTTCCCCTGAAGTTCTCTGGTTTCTATGGGGCTTGAGGCCTTGGTGTAGTGACAGGACAAGGGGCAATGGCTTTAAACTGACAGAGGGGAGATTTCCGTGAGATCTGAGGAAGAAATTCTTCCCTCTGAGGATGGTGAGGCACTGGAGCAGGTTGCCCAGAGAAGCTGTGGCTGCCCCATCCCTGGAAGTGTTCAAGGCCACGTTGGATGAGGCTTTGGGCAACCTGGTGTAGTGGAAGGTGTCCCTGCCCATGGCAGGGGGGTTGGAACTGGATGGTCTTGGAGGTCCCTTCCAACCCAAACCATTCCATGATCCCATGATTCCTTGTCTTTCTCTATATTTTGCCACCTCACAGGCTTTGTGCAGCCCTTAGTGCTATCAGAGCCTGTGTTAAAACCACCTTGGCCATCCGCGGGTCGATCGGGAAGGGGTGGGAGATAAAAACCTTTGAGAGAGAGCGAAACAAAAGGAACTGGCTAACTATTTTTTTCCTTCAGGAACTCGACCAACTGCCCAGAACCTCTGCCGAATTTTACAGGGATTGGCGCAGATGCTTAAAAAGCGGAAAAGAAAAATACCAGCTTTTGCTCGAGCTCGGAGGGGCGGCCTTGGGCAGAATCTTTCAGGCTGACTTGGGCTGTGGCCTCCTGGGCGAATTCCTTACGGCGCTGGCGGAGAACGTCTGCCATGGAGACAGAGATGCCGTTCTTCAGATCTTACAGAGCCTGTCGGGCACCAAGCGCTTCGGGTTAAACGTGGATCTTCTGAGCGACTCGGAGAAGGAGAGCAGCAGGGATTTGTTTAGGAAGCTGCAAAGCATGAGCCGGGATTCTCGGGCCGCTGGCCATCCCAGCGGCCCGGCAGGAAGGAAGTCCACCTCATGGGCACCAGCTTGCAAAAAGAAGCCGAGGAAAGGATAATGATGGAGCTGATGAAATGTTACCAGGTCAACTGAAGGAGCAAAAGCACCAGGGTCGTGCGGAATCAGAAAAGAGGCTCAAAGCTCAGCTGTCATGCGAGACAGATAAATCTGGTACTTCTGGGGTGTTGCCGTACGTTCCCCTGTACCCGGGAGGCACCCGGGGCAACAGTTCTGCGCAAATAAAGGGTAGTTACCGAGAGGACTGTGTTGTGCTCTCTGGGCAGGGTGTCCTCACCAATCAGCTCCCTCAGAATCTCATAGCTGAGCAGAACAAGTGAGGGAAAGAAAAACTCAGCTGGTATTTTTGAAAGAGGAACCAAAAAAATAGTCCTTTCCTGTTTCATCTCGGCCCGTTGCCGTGATGGGGTTTAAGAAATGTCATCAATGATGCTTCATGTTTAACTGGGCGGCCACTGAAGGTAGAATGGGCTGGTGGAGGTGGAAATGCTGGGCGGGGTGGTATAGCTGGGACTGATCCAAGCAGCTGTTTTGTTATTGTTCTACCCAACCAGCAAGGCGTGGGGTACACCTCAGAGATCCTGTCACCTCATGGTCCTGTGATCTCAGACGCTTCTCTGACTTGAGGAAATTCCACATAAATCAAAATTTAGAAGGAACTGACAGGCATCAGTCCAACAAAGAGACTCTCCAGGACTGCCTAATACTGCGCCTAAGTTGCGCAGCCTTTCTGGTTTGGCTGCAGACTTCAGAGAGGCCCTCCTGGGATGCAGCTCAGCACCTTCCCACCGAGCTCTCTGGCAGTTCTGCTCTGGGAGGATCCTCGAGCTTCTCCCAAGTGTGCTGAGGAGCCCAGTGTATGGTACAGTGCTCACACTCCCTGGAATTCAGCTCAAAAACAACTGTCAGGTCTGATTTGTTGCAAAATCCAGCTGGAGGAGCAAAAGGTAGAGTCACCCGGACAGACTATAACCATCCCTCTCCCACCTTCTCTGCAGAAACCACTGGGCACCTCCTTGATTATTCTCTTGAATGTTGGGCTTTGTGGCATCCACCGTGGGGACATCCATGTCCCTGGAATGTTGTGGGTACCGTTCCTCTCACTTTTGCATAACACGTGCAAACCTGAGGACGAGCGGGAAGCTGAGAGCTGAAGTCTTAAACAAGACAACAAAGATCCTGGAGTTTCCCAAGGTCAGGACGGAGGATGTCGATGCAGGAACAGTCCTGGCACGACAGTTACAGGTCTGATGGGAACAGCCACAGTGCTTTCAAGCTTTTCACAATGTTCAGGGCTTGCACTTGTATCCAATGCCAACGATGGGAGCAGCCTGTGACATCCCCATTGCTTGGGGAAGGGCAAAATCCCCATGGTTTGGTGAGAAGACTCAGGAGAAATGAAGTACAGGAGAGGTGGTGTGAACGTTTATGGGAGGACAGGCTGTTAGACCGGCTGGGATTATTTTCCCAGTCACGTCAGTTCACGGTCTGATCTGAGCATCTGCTCAAGAAATGCCAAAAGCTGAGCTGGAAGTCCAGCCAGAGTCGGTGGGGAGCAGATAGCCCACCCTCACCACAGGACAGATGCATTTAAGGCCTCCAGGGCTGGTTCCAGCATCACCAGGCAAGGGTGATGGGAACAAAAAGCCTCACTCCCTCACTCAGAGAGGGGGAATCTCAAACGTTACCTGTGCCGAGGGGCTTCAGCACACAAACCCTTGGAAAGCCAACGGGGGGGATGTAGAAGTCTCAATACCATGTTTGAAACCTCAGCTGGGCTGCAGAGGTCAGCTGCCATCACAGGAGGGTCTTCTCCAGGTTCCTTGTGCGCAGAGGGATGAGAGAAACAACATTTATTGCACGTGAGCGTTTCAAAGAGATGCCGGTGGTTCCCCCATTCCCACCGCACCTTCCATCGCTGTGTCTTCCCTCTGTGGCTGCGCTGCACACACGACCTGCTCGCTCGTGGTCACAGACAACGTTCTAGAGCAGCTGGAGAGGTTCTGGAATCCGTGTCCCAGGGAACAGCCAGTTCGACTCGGATGGAAAACCGGCCTCTGTTCGATCGCTGCTGCCCGCCCCGTGCGTTGCAGGTGGGGGGCCGTTTGCCAAACCCAGCTTGGGCGAGTGAGCTGGTGCGTCCCTGCCCAGTGCTGGCACTGGGAACCCCGTGCGGGCTCCTGCCTTCCTCGCTGAGGCCACAGTGGCCGGGTTGGTTCTGCTGGCTGCAGAGACTGCCCAGTGCAATGGCAGTGAGGGTGCTGGGGGCCACCGTCCTCCTCTGCATGGTAGATGTTCTCCAGGCCTTTGCGATTGAAGAAAAAGGAGATGTGTTCAAGAGGATGGCTTGTCCTGCATTCCTGATCTTTGACAATGCCGCGTACTTGGCTGACATGACCTTCGAGCTCCCCTGCAACTGCAAGCCCGAAGAGGTCTCCTCTGTCGTCTGGTACTTCCAGAAGAACATGGGCAGCCACAGTGCTGACGGACTTTGCCGGCACCGTAGTTGTCGACTCGGGCCACATTCGTGCGGGCAGCGACGTGCTGAAGCGTTTCAGTATCCGGATGTTCAGTCTTATTGTCTTCCGAGCCCAGGTGTCGGACTCGGGCCACTATCTATGCGGCACTAAGAACGGGGACTTCTTCTATGGCTACGACGTGGACGTGCAGCCCACCAAGCACATCACGGTGGCTCTTATGGACAAAGGCCAGCACGTCCAGGGCGACTTCACCCTGAAGCACTTCAGCCTCTTCACCACCTTCTGGGACTGGAGCAGGTGTGACCGCTGCGGGGTGAGAGGCGAGCAGCGGCGCATCGGGCTCTGCTACCTGCGCAGCACCGAGCTGCACCCTCGCTATCGCACCGCCATGCCCAACGTCACGTCCTGCGGCTCCAAGGCTGTCCCCCCGCGCTTCCAGCGGCCCCGCCGCC